CCCCAAAAAAAAGAAAAAGAATATCTTTTTTAAAGATATATTTTGTTGTTACAGGGTTTCACTATGCAGCTCAGACTCATAATGATGCTCCTGTTTTCAGCCTCCCCAGCACTAGGATTACAGGTGTTCATGGCCAGTTCAGCCCTCCCTTGGGGGCAGTGCTGGCACAGCATGTAGTGCTGGGGATTGAACCGCGGGCGCTGGGCTTGCCTAAACTTGCCTAGGCAGGAGCTTTAGTCTGCTGAGCTATCTTGCTAGCTCAAGAGGATTTATTTTAAATTAATTGAAACTAGAAAGTTGGAGCTGGGCGTGGTGGCACACACCTGTAATTCCTGCACTCCAGGGAGGCTGAGGCAAGAGGATTGTTGCAAGTTTGAGACCAGCCTGGACAGCATAATGAGACCCTGTCTCAACAAAACAAAACAAAACAACAAAACGAAACTAGAAAGTTGTTCTGATCCAAGACAAGTCAGGTACTGATTCACTCCTAGTGGCACACCTGTTCATGCCTGTTACAGCACAAGTGTGTCTGGGTTTTTTGTTTGCTTGTTTGTTTTTTTGGTCTGTTTGAGATAGGATTTGACTATGTAGTTCAAGATGGCCTTAAACTCACTTTGCAGCCCAGGCTGGCCTCAAACACAGCAGTCTTCCTGCCTCAGCCTCCAGAGAGCTGGGACTATAGGTGTGCACCAACACATCTCCTCTGTGCCAATGTTTATAATGTACTCCATTTGCATCCAAATGGCCAACCCTATTTGCCCCTGTCCTAATGCCCAAAGAATTAGTTTAACATACTTGGTTAATTATCATGGTGTTAATTAAATAAACACAGTTTTGTTGCCTGTTTTTCTCTTGGATGTAGATAGGCAGCTCATGAGTAGGCAGCCCATGGACACTGGTAAACTTTTTTGTTTTTGTTTGTTTTCTTTAGCCTGGTAGTGCTTTTTAAAATGCAAAATTCAATATCTGCTTAGGTATTTGACATTTTGGCAAAAATTTATTTTTTAAAATTAATTATGGGGGCCAGGGAGATAGCGCAGTAGAATAAGTGCTTCCCTGGCAAGTGCAATGGCCTGAGTTCAATCCCTGGTTCTGCAAAAAA